AAAGTGAAAGTGAAAGTGAAAGAAAAGTGAGAGGGGGGAAGGGAAGGAAGGAGGGAGGGGCGTTTCTGAGACCACCACTCACTTCTGGACGTCCAAGTATTCCAGTAGCTTCATGTCAGAAAAGCGACTGAGGTTGACAATTCCCTGGCAGTACTCTTCGTCCTGCTTTTCGTGGGAGACCATGTAGAGCATCAGGAGTTCCGGGTAGAAAGACGGCAGGATGAGAGGCAGGACAAGGCGGCCTCCTTCCGGGTCCCTGATCGGAGGAGAGCCAGAGGCCCGTCAGTGCGGCTCCCCCTTCCCTCCCGCAGCAGCCGAGAGCAGGCGGCTGCCGGTCTGCGACATTTGTGGCAACCATTCCCAGGTCTGGGATGGACTGGGAGGCTCAGGGCTCGGGTTGGGACCGGGTTCAAATCCAGCCTCATCTATGGAAACTGGGTGGATTATGCCGGTGGGCTAATCAGCCTGGCCTACCCCATAGGGTTGTTGTGGTGGGGGGCAAAAAACAGAGGGGAAAGTGTTAGGTACACCACCTTGACCTCCCAGAGGGGAGGCGAGATGTAATTCGAAGAAACAAACTCATCAATGAATATGTAAGGCTAAAATCACAGGAATGTAAGATTTCGGCCGTTTTTAACTGGAAACCTAATTAGAGCAGCCCCCAGCCCTAAACATCAAGAACCATCACCAAAAAGAAAAAAATAAACAGGGAAACAGCCAAGACACGGATCATGATGATGTCTTGAGGATGGAAAACAGAAAGGCTATTAAACGTCCCAGGATTTCGTGCCTGGCCCTAAATGGCCGCGCCTTTCCTTTCCTGCGCTAAGTGGATGGACTAGGAGGAACTTAGTTAGTACTAAGGAACTGGTTAGTTAGTACTAGTTAGTCAGTTAGCCACCAGGAAATCCCGGGGCTAGAAGAGAGACTGGGAAGGGAAAACGCAGGCTGGAAGAAAACAATTGCAAACCATTTTCGATGTTAGAAAGGGAAAAACGGTTAAAGAAAAATAGGAAAGAAAGGGGAAAAAAAAGATTTTTTCTTTCTTTCCTATTTTCCTTTTCCTTTCTTTCTTGCACTTTTAGCTCTGCTTTGACTTCTTTTTTCTTTCTTCTTCCTCACTCTCTATTAGTTTGCGTTCGTCTTTACCTTTGTTTTTAAAACTTTTAATAAAATTATGTTAAAAGCCAACCAACCAACCAACCATTTTCAATGTCGTTGCCCAGAAAATTATGGAATGTGTCCATAAGGTCTCCAAAAGTGAACCTCGACTTTAGCTTTTGAATGGGTGAATTCGTACAGTGTGGTTTATGGCTTAGTATCAAATTTATTTATTTATTTA